ACCCCAAGCAAGTCTGGCTCAAACCATTCTAAGGCCGTGCCTTTGAGGTAGGACTGGGCAAAGATGACCTTTGCATGGTTGGTCCTGAAAGCCCAGGCTTGGTCTTGAAAATTAAGCTTGCACTGGATAAAGAAGGCATGAAGCTTCTTGGAGTCAGTGCCATCAAAGGTATTGGGCTCATGCAACTTGGTCCTGCTTGAGGACTCAGGACCAGTGTGGGTGTTGCAGGCCAGTAGCTTAGTGGCCTTTGCAAGACTGTCAAAGACCACAACTGTGGGTTCAGTATCCAGGTCTGGGAAGTCCAGTTCATCCTCCAGATCATCCTCATCTGGATTATCATCACTGGGCCCATCATCACTGGGACCATCACCAGGGTCATCATCCTCAGGATTGTTGTTGTCATTGTTGCCTGGCCCATCATCCCCAGGATCTTAATTGTGAATGGGGGCAATGGGATGACTTGGTGTGGGGGTATTGGAGGTTCAGGCTGAAAAGCCCCTGAAAGGACTAATGGGGTTGGGAGAGTGCCTAGTGGTACCCAAGGCAGCTAGTGCTGCCTTGCAGTGAGTCCCACTGGCTGAAGCTGATTTGGGGCTGGTGGTAGAGCAGCTGCAGGGAGGTTGAAAGCAAGTTTTAGTGGCCATGATCTATTAGACCCACACAAGTGGCAAGTCTGAAATACTGTCAAGTTTGAGGTGTCCAGGTTTGAGGCCAGATTGGAGACCAAAGCTGGCATGAGGCCAAGGAGTCAGGGTCAGGGGAAGAGGCAGGGATACAGAAGGTTGACTGATTGGACTTAGTGACTGATGATGCAGTGCTATTCCTTTGCATGGGTCACAGTCTGAGTCTGAGGCCAAGGTGGGGTTATCAGAGTGAACTTAGTTGATTTCAGACTGGAGACTACAGGCTGAGTATCTAAGAGTTTATATACTAGAAGTAGCTATAGTACAGAGACCAGTAATGCCAGTCTTGCAAAGATTGCTAAGCTGATTGGTAAGGCTAGTATTAGTAAGGTATGACCAAGGTAATGGAGACCAGGACAGGGCAGACCAGGGACATGACTGGGCAGGGTTCAGCTGAAGTGACATACACTGCAAAGCAGTGTATAACATGCTAGACTATCTGGGGATAAGGGATTGGCAAGGCTGAGGCTGGAATGAACAAGTGCATGACCAAGTCTGGCCAGGGTCAAGGCATGGTTATGACAGAAACATGACACATGCTGAACTTGAAAGATTCTGTGGAGGTCCCTTTAGTTTTGTGCACAAATGCCAGTCCAGCATTCAGGGTCAATGTGCTGCTCAATAGCAGTGCTACTGGAGTATTTATAGATAGAGGTTTTGTCAAAAGGAACCAGACTCCAAAGATAGCACTGCCAAGAGTGGTAGAAGTATTTAATGTTGATGGTTCACCTAATTCCACTGGAAGGATTACACATCAGGCTCACCTTCGGGTTCAATACCTTGACCATCACAAGGAACTTCTTGCTGAGATAACTGATCTAGGAGGTAGTACCATGATCCTAGGACATACCTTGTTACATCAGCACAACCTGCTGATAGATTGGAAGACCAGCAAGGTCAAAATGGGTAGATGCCCAGCTAGATGCTGATAGCTAGCACCCAAGCCCTTGTTTGTTCATGAAGTGGAGACACTCAAACAGGAAGCCTTGGAGTCTTACATCCCTTGGATCCAGAGTCTGGGAATGGACAAACCAAAAACAGATAAAACCCCTGAGGAACTTGTTCCAAAGGCATATCACAAATATTTATCAGTCTTCTTGGAAAAGGAATCTGAGCACATGCCACTTAGGAAACCTTGGGACCATGCTATAGAACTAAAGGAGTTGTTTGTACCAAAGAAGGGAAGATTGATCCCTCTCTCCCCTGATGAGCAATGAGAAGTCAGTGACTTTGTTGATGGACAACTCAAGAAGGGTTATATTTGGCCTAGTAAATCACTGCAAACATCTCCCATGATCTTTGTCCCTAAAAAGGATGGCAAGAAGTGCATGGTCCAGGACTATCATTATTTAAATGAGCATACTGTCAAAAACTCATATCTGCTCCCTTTAATATCTCAGCTTGTGGACAAGTTGAAAGGTTGCAAACTCTTCATGAAGATGGATCTTTGCTGGGGTTACAACAATGTCAGGATCAAAGAAGGTGATGAGTGGAATGCTGCTTTCATGTGCCATCGCAGTGCCTTTGAGCCCTTAGTCATGTTCTTTGGGCTTTGCAACTTGCCCACCACATTCTAGAACATGATGAACAATATATTTGGCAATATGGAAGATGTGCTTGTTGTCTACATCAATGACCTAATGATATTTACAAAAACAGACAATCAGGAGGAACATGACAGGATCATGCTGGAGGTGCTTAGAAGGCTTAAGATAAATGACTTGTTTGTCAAACCACAGAAGTGTATCTTCAGGCAACAAGAGGTGGACTTTCTAGGAATGATCATTGGCATTAATGGAGTATGTATGGACCCTGCCAAGATCTCTGCTGTGCAAGATTGGCCTGTACCTACAAATGTTCATGGAGTTTGCAGCTTCCTCAGCCTTGTGAACTTTTACCAATGCTTTATTAAGGATTTCGTGCAGATTGCAAAGCCCCTGAACAACCTCATGAAGAAAGACTCTGTTCATTTGGGATGACAATGTTGAATGGTGTTTGATATGCTAAAAGAAGCCTTTACTACTGCTCCTATCCTTATGTTCCCTGATCAAGATTGGAGGTTTTGGTTAGAAACAGATGCTTCAGACTATGCCACTGGAGCAGTGCTCTCTGTAGAATGCAATGAGAGTGTCTGGAGACCAGTCACCTACTCTAGTCACTCCCTATCTGGGACCAAACTTAACTACACAGTTCATGACAAAGAAATGCTGGCCATTATTTGTGCACTAGAGCAATGGTGTCATTACCTCAAGGCTACCCCATACCAGTTTGAAATTTGGACAGACCACCATAACCTCAAGTGGTTCATGACTGCTCAGAAGCTTCAACCATGCCAGGCACATTGGGTGCAGTACTTTAGTCAGTTTAGCTGTGTTATAGTACATAAACCCAGAGTCACAATGGGAAGGCCAGATGCCCTGTCAAGACAAGAGGACTTTGTGGAAGGAAAGGAAAGGGCAAAGTCAGAAGAGTCCCTATTTATAAATCCAAACTAGGTCCATTCAGTAAAACTAGAAAATCCCTTCATGGAAGATTTGCAGATCAAATCTGCTAAAGCCAAAGGAGTCCCTGCTGGATGTGAGCTCTGAGGCAGTCTTTCATTATGATGGGGAGAAGGTCTGGGTGCCTAGTACACTCAGAAGGAAGCTGCTTAATGCTCTTCACAATTCACCCCTAGTGGGACATCACAGTGTAAAAGGAACTCAGGAGTTGATCACACACTGCTTCATGTGGTCTACCTTGAAACCCAATGTAGAAGAATACATAAAGCACTGTCAAACATGCCAAGCCAGCAAGTCTGGAAATAGGCTGCCTGCAGGAGAACTCAAACCTTTACCTATCCCTAATAGGCCTTGGAGAGAGTTAACAACCAATTTTATGGATCTTGGATTCAGGGGATCATCTGGAAAATCCCATGTCCTAGTCATCATTGACAGGTTCTCTAAGGAAGTGGAGTTCATTCCCTGCACTGTGGAAGAAACAGCTGCTAGCACAGCTCATCTTTACCTGGCACATGTCCATGGACCTCCAGACTCTGTTGCATCAGACCAAGGTCCTCAGTTTGCCTCTGGTTTTATGAAGGAGTTATCTAAAATGTTGCAGTACAGCAGAAACTCTCTATGGCATTCCACCTGCAAATGGACAGACAAACAGAGTGGTTGAACCATGAGATTCAGCAGTATTTATGGATGTATGCCAACCAGCAACAGGCTCACTGGGAAGAGTGGCTACCATTGGCTCAGTTTGTGTACAACAACTCTGCCTCTACTTCTATTGGCAAGTGCCCCTTTGAAGTTACCCACTCCTATAGACCTAGGATGGCCATTGATCTGATGACTTTGAAGGTAGAAGCAGCAGAGAAAGTCACCAAATCTTGGTTCCAGGTGTTCCAAGATGTAAAAGCAAACCTTGCCAAAGTGTGCTCTTGGCAGAAGCAGCAAGCAGATAGATGCTGCTCCACTGCCCCTTCTTATTCCATTGGATCTCAGGTCTGGCTAGCTACAGACCATCTGTCCCTGAAAGAATGGCAGAGCCATAAGCTTTCCAAAGAATGGATTGGACCATATGAAGTTCTGGAAGTGCTCCTGAATGCTCTTAAGTTAAAGTTGCTGTGTGACATGAGGATTCACCTGGTTGTGAATGTCTCATGGGTTAAACCCTATCTCAGTGCTCTCAATGGGCAACCTGTTAACAGGCCAGGACCACAGAGGGTTACTGATGAAGGAGATGTTGAATATGAGGTTGAGTATGTTGTTGACTCCCATTTGAAACATGGAGCTTGTCAATTCCTCATACATTGGAGGGGATACCCTGAAGAAGATCATACTTGGGAGCCAGCCTCTGCCTTGAAGAATTTGCAGTTGGCAATCAAGGACTTTTATCAATCCCACCCTGGGGCCCCCTGTAAATTATCTCTCCTTTCATCAGAAAGCTTTGACAGCTTGTTCACACCCATGCCAGAGCTGTTTACTACCATTCATCCTATCTGGTCTCACCTGGAAGTCAGGCCTTAGGAGGGGATAGTGTAATGACTGGTAGACTTTCCACTTCTGCATTTCCTACTTGCCTATATATATCTACCCTCTGGTTAGGGTTACGCTTTAGGGATGATTAGTCATCTCGGACTTTTCCTTTGCTTGCTTGTTCACACCTACACAATACTTAGTAAGGCTATGCCTTGCTGACACTGCATGTTTGCATTCATCCAATAGTGTAGTTCTCTCTTTTGTTTGCTTCCTTCTCAAATGTTCTCTTGTGGCAGTATGTACAAACAGTAAGGCAGTATATAAGTCCCATCATTTGTCATAGCCAGTTTCTCTAATCTAGTTCATTTTGAGCTTGGTCCTCAATCAATGGGTTCCACTCCCATGCTCTCTGGTTTGAAGTGATAGCTGAGAAGACTTTGTCTTTAATTGCTTCAAGTGTGTTGTGCCATCTTCTGCATACTCTGGCTTGGTAGACAAGCAAGGCTCTCTTGCTTATTTCACAGTGCCCATGCCTCCAGGGGTGGTTTTTGAGCGCCAGCCAGAATTTGATGTGATTGCTGATGTTGTCAGCCTCCCAGTTGTTCTCTTTCATAGCATTGGTTAGCCTGTGTGCAGCTTCTGAGAATTCTTCCCAGGCAAGGTCTTCATCTTTGGTGACTGTGCCTTTTGCTTGGGCTGATGCTAGAGGTATGAAGGAGTGTATGCCTTCTCCTGTCTGGAGGAGGGATAGGGCATCATCATCTGTTGAGCAGATGGTCAGCTCTGCATCACATAGGCCTTTGTTTGTGAAATAGTAGAGCTTGACAAAATCTGCTTTGTGGAGTCTTTGTGCTGTGACCTGGGAAGGGATGATGATGGGATCTGCAGGGACTACAGCATCCTGGGGGACTGTGGCATATTTGTGATGGTACTTCTTCTTCACTTCTTGTAGCACTTGCTCTCATTCTCTCTCACACTCAGTCTGTTGTCTCTCTTGCTCTTCTTCTTCTAGCCTTGCCTTTGACATGGCTTCTTGTTGTTCTAGGAGGACTCGACAATCCCACTCTTCTTTTTCTAAGTTGTTGTTTAGCACCCAGTAGAGGGCTAGCTGGGTTGCTGCCACATTGTGGTTGACATTGTCATTTATGAGGCATTCTCAGGCTTGATGATATTTCTCAGAAGAGAAATCTGGTTGGACTGCTAAAAGAGGGTTGTTAGCTGGTTTGGGCATAGTGAAGAAAAGAGATACTAGTGGGCAGCTCAGCTGAGCCTTGAGACACAAGTGGGAGTGCAAAGGAGAGGAGCAACAAGCTAACTGCATTCCCACATGTGGACTATATTCTCCATACACTACATGCCTTTGCTACCAAGAATTGCCATCAGGAGTCTCTCCAACCTTTGAGCTTGAACATTTGTAACTCTCAACACCCAACACACTTAGAAGATGTCCTGATGAGTACCAACCCCAATGACTGTGCAACTCACAATTACCCAGATTTTGTTCATATGGAATTTGACATGCAGGGCCAACCACAGATGACTTTGAGGGCACAGCTAAAATGTTTGGACTTGGCCCAGCATTTATGGACAAATTTAATGGTGACCAGTTCAGCAAACTATGGGAATCAAATCTGTACTACCCCTTCAACTCCCACAATGAATGGGAGCTGGCATCATGGTTACAGAGCTATAGACTTTTTCTTGTCATTGTCAATCATAAGCCTGTCCCTATTCTCTCCAAAGATCATTATTGATGTGTGCCAGATACAGCTACTAAATATATCCCTTCATACAGCCAGAGCACTTCCTGGGCTGGCTGAGTTATAAGTGAAGAGCTGCAGGTGGGCAGCAACAATGATGACCAGGCAATCTGGGGGAAGTTGGCTGAGCACAAGAGGCACAAGGCAAAGGTGCAGGAGGAAGCCTGGTTGGAGGCAGAGAGGCAGGAGCAAGCCTGGCTTGAGGAAGAGAGGGCATGCACAGAGGCTGAGGCACAAAGAGCAGAGGCTGCACACAAGGCTGAGGAAGCCAGGAAGGCAGCTGAGAGCCAGTGGGTGGATGCCCTGGTAGGTAGTTCAACTTGGGCCAGGTCAAATGTTGAGGTGATGAGCCCTTAGTGAGTGTTATTATGATTATTACTGGTGTTTTTGACTAACACTCTACCAGCTGCCTTTGTTGTGTCAGGACCAACATGACCTGCCTGTGCAGCACCAACAGCAAGAAGCAGCACATGGCATGCAACCAGTGCAATGAGCTCAAAGAGCACTGCCAGTGGCTGGTTGAGGGTGAGACTGGTCAGGGAGCCAGCCCAGGTGTTGACAAGGGTAAGAGGAAGGCTGACATGATGTCCCCTCACACTGGCAAGAAGAAGACCAGTGAGGAGGCTGGGGCCAGTCCTGTTACCAGTGATCAGATGGAGCACCTGATCAGGGTGGTGGAGCATGTTGCTGACAATGTGGCCAGCCTTGCAGTGGCCCAGAAGGAGGTTTTGAGGAATTTTTACTGGTTCACCTGGTCCTATGAAACCTATGTTGAAGAACACTTCAAATTCCTGGCATTGGATGTGCCTTCAGACCAGGACACCACCGATGAGGAGGACAGGGATGTCAAGGGGCTTGATGAAGAGCTGAGGGAGGAGGAAGAGGAAGGCCAGTCCTGGTCTGAGTCAGGTGGTCAGACTGGTGCCAGTTCTGCTGGGTCCCAGGCCTGAAGTCATGTGCATAGTATAGTGTTTCTTCTTGTACATGTATACCTGCAAATGTCATTGCCTGGTTCTGGTTCTAAAGTATGAAAATGTTAAGTATGGGTTTACCCTCAGGTGACTGGGCTTCAAGACTGGGTGACAGGGGCTAAGTCTGGGTGACCAAAGTCAAGGCTGGGAGACAGGGGCCAAGTCTGGTTGGACTGGAGTTAAGGCCAGAGGTCAGGGGTTAAGTCTGGAGGACTGGACTTGAGACTGGGAGCATGGGAATAAGACCAATAGCATGGGAAACCAACTGGTCTTGGAGCACACACAGGGGGAAGCTGGTCCAGGGTTGGATCTACCTCCCTTGGTCTCAGCTTATGTGCTGTACCCTTATGCAAGCTGGGGAGAGGTCCAGGACAGGGGCTGGGGATAGCCTAAGGCTCAGCCTTAGTTATGGAGTAGACTCAGAGTGTCGTATGGAGTTGAGGGTAATACTAAATTGATATTCTGACTGGAGTGCTACAAAGTATGTACAGGGGTTAAATACACAAGGCCAGTCTGGGGTAATGAACATAAAGCTGGGCTTGTTAATAAGCTATTGGTGATGGAGTGAACCATCTTTCTTCTTTACAAAGAGGACCAGTGCAGTCTAGGGGGAAGAAGTGGGCCAGATGAAACTGGTAGTCAGGTTTTTGTTGATGAATATCCAGAGAGCTCACAGCTCGACCAGAGATAGCAAGTAGATAGTTCCAATGGGTGGTGTAGTACCCTCTGTCAGTTTGATCTTAAGGTCATACTCCCAGTGTGGGGGGAGAGTAGACACCTTGGCTTTGCTAAAGACATCAGCAAAGTCATGGTAGTCCTCTGGTACACCAGCCAGGTCCAGTGGGCATAGATGAAGCTGGAATTGGGTGGATCCCTCTAGCTTGCAAGCACATACATATGCAGCTGCATTGATCAAGGTGATAGGGGGAGCCTTCAGGGGAGTGCAAACCAGTGAGTTGACAGATAGTACAGATGGTGCAGGGCCAGGATTGGGTTGGTCAGGCAGACTGGGATTGGGAAGACTGGTTAAGACTGGTGTGGAAGGGGTTGTTGACAGGATTGGCATTCCTCCTGTAGATGTCCAGAAAGTTAGACTGCTCAGTACCCAATCAATCAATGGATTGTAGTGGGTGAGCCAGTCATGTCCAAGGACTATCTTCCATCCAGAATCCAATGGGGCTAAAAACAGGGTTACCAGGGTGACATCACCAGTTGCAAATTGAACTGAGAGATCTACTTCTTGAGTGATAATGAAACTTGATGACCCATCAAAGAGCCAGAGTTGGATAGGGGACATGGAGTAAGGGGCAAACAAGTGTTGATTAACAAATTCTTTATCTATGATGCTATGTGTGGAACCAGAGTCCACTAGAGTACAGAACTGGGGCAAACTGTGACTGACAATAGAAACATGGGGAGTTAATGAATTGGGATTGGAAAGAGCAGATGCATTGAGATGAGCCTCCATGAGTGCATAGCCAGAGTCAACACAGCTCTCAGTCTGTGTGGAGTCCTGAGAGCTGCTACCTATTTTTTTGCCTCAGGGGCAGAGCCCAAGGTTGAGGCTGGTGCTGCCTCAGTAGTGGCTGCAGTGTGAGCTTTGGCTTTCCTGGCTTTCTTGGGACACTTATCTGTGAAATGTCCAGTGCCCCCACAAAACATGCAGAGGTTGTTGTCTCTATGGAATTTGCACTCCTCTGGTGTCAGCTTGCTGTCTTTTCCCAGCTTGGGTGTGTTAGAGCTGGTCTGACTGGTTGAGGTGGGTTTGGACAAGGGCTAGCTACTGGAGTTGCCATTTCCAGAATTATTGCCAGTCTTGGATTTCTCTTGACTGGGCTTGGACTGGGTGTTGTGACTGGGGTTGGGAGTTGACTTGTTACCAGAGAATGACCCTTGGTGCTTACTGGACTGCTGAACCTCCCCTTTGTGTTCCCAGTAGTGTGTGTCAATCTCCTGAGCTAAGTGGAAAAGCTCATGCAGGGTTCTAGGTTTGCCAACCTGGCAGACCTCATCTTTGATACAGTTGGGGAGACTGGTGTAGAAGAAGTGGCACAGAGCACCATCACCATATCCCCAGGCTTGTGAGGCAAGCCAGTTGAACTTGACCATGGACTTGTTGACCTGGTGATTATCTTTCATTTGGAGGTGGTCTAGCTGGCTTTCAGCATCAGCCACTGGGTCATGGGGTCCAAAGGTGGTTTGAAGTTCTATGATGAACTCTTTCCACAAGTCCATCCAGTAGGGCTGGTCCTCCAGGTCTTCAGTCCCAAGTAGGTCCAGTTCAAACCACTTGAGAGCCATCCCCTTCAGGAATGACTGCACAAAAGTTGTTATGCTTGACCAAAGTTGAGATGTAGGTCAAGCTCAGTTGCAGACTAAAGGTTTCTACTGAGCAATGGCTGCAGTAACCTCTGTAAATGACAGAGGATTTGAGCAATGCTGGTAAGAGTGGTCTGGGTTAGGGACACTGAGGGTGAAGTTCTGAAGAACACTGCATATAATTGAGCAGCTCAAGTCTGGGGTTCCAAGACTTGAGCTGGCAGTCTAGATACTACAAGAGAACAGACCACAAGGCATCCACATGTAACAAGCTATCTACACCATTGGTTGAACAATGACAACACATGTCCTATGCATGTTATGAGTCACTAGTGCTAGTGGTGGAAGTAGAGAGCCATCAGATCAGAAAGAAGATGGCTTGAAAAAGGAACACAGTCCATTGGAATGAACACAAGATAAACATACAGTGAAGCAAGGAAAAACAGGGGTGAAACATAACATTACCCCCTTTCTAAGCATTGAAGTCCCTGACTTCAAATAACTTTGTTAGGTACCAATAAAGTGACTACTTTGTACACTGAGAAACTCATAACTTCATTAGGTTATGAGCCCCACTCTTGTGCTCTAATTCCAAAAGAGTTATTACACAGCAACAATACCCGCTATGGCAAAAGATAATCATTCCTTACAAGTCCCAACCCTAAATGTGGATGGAAGCAACTGGCTATACTACAAGGCTCATGTTGAATGGGCTGTCAGTTTGAAAGGGCTGATTGGACACCTGACCAGCTTGGATGTGAAACCAGAGGGCCCTTCAGTGGGAAAAGACTCCTCCTGGAAGCCCACAGCCATGGAGCAAAAACTTGTCAATGAATACCCAGAAAAACTGTGGCAATGGGCAAAGGATGATGGATATGTCAAGAAAGTGATCACTGTATCACTCCCAGAATCCCTATTCCTTCAAGTTCTGGAGGAAGGGACTGCAAAGAGTGTGTGGGGTGTCCTCACTGACCTTTTCCAAAACTGCTCTTGTGTTGTCATGATCAATCTTCAGAGAAAACTCCAAGAATCCCACTGTGCAGAAAAAGGCAATGTCCATGCTCACTTTGACAAGATGCGCACACAACTTG